GTTTTCATGGCACGCTCTCTGAGTCACCAATAAATCCCAAAGCCCTCCTGTATTAAATATAATACAGGGCTACATCTTTATAAATGGCTACCTTCTAATCTAGGAAGCTGTAACAGACACTGATACAAAGGATTGCAGGACAACCTTCCCTTCGCCTGAGGAGCTCAGTATGGATTTCCTGGAGAACTCCGAGAGATACAGAGCATTGTTTTCAGGTATCTGACTTCTTTTGGAAAACATTTATCTTGGACATTAGTCTGCAGTGGTTCTTATCAACTACCATTTTCATTATTGTGGAAATTAGTCAGTTTAGGAATTTGGGCCAATGCAATGAATAGTGAAAGGAGTTCACATATCTAAGGGGAAACGGTCTTGTCTTTTTCATTTCAGTCCTTAAGAAAGCATTTGTTTACTTCTTTACCCCCTGGCAGTTTTAAGGGCTGTTGTTTCTCTGCTCTAAAAATCCATTGTATTAACACAGGACTACAAATTCACCCTCCAAATAAGATGTTAATTTATCTGATTTATACTTGTGTCCAACTGGAGCTTTTGTTTGCAAGTTTCTTGTAAAAATGTGTACTTTTTCAGTACACATAAGACACTAATTTCAGTGATCCACTTTACCTTCAAAATTATCTTGGTCAGGTGCTACGGCTCACACCTGTAATCCCAACACTTTGGGAGACCGAGGTAGGAGGATTTGAGACCAGACTCGGCAACTTACCGAGACCCTGTCTCTATTAAAAATCAAAAAAATTAACCGGGCATAGTGGCATGCACCTGTAGTCCCAACTACTTTTGGGAGGCTGAGGTGGGGAAATTGCTTGAACCCAGGAAGATAAGGCTGCAGTGAGCTGTGATCACACCACTGCACTGCAGCCTGGGCGAAAGAGTGAGACCTTGGCTCTATTAAAAAAAAAAAAAAAAAAAAAAAAAAAAAAGGCTTGTGTTGCATGAGGTTTTGGGGGACAAGATGTTTTTTCTTGATTTTCAATGTTTCATAATCCCACCTCCACATTTTACTTGTGTAATGATGAGTTTATTCATTGAGTGAGACCTTGGCTCTATTAAAAAAGAAAAAAAAAGTCTTACGTAGCATGAGGGTTTTTAGGGACAAGATATTTTTTCTTGATTTTCAATGTTTCATAATCTCATCTCCACATTTTACTTGTGTAATGATGGGTTTATTCATTGTGGGCCTTAGTTTCTAACTTGGTTTTCAGCTCTTGAAAATTCCGTCAGATGCAGTGTATAGTGTCATCAATGTAAAAAGCCATGTTTTGCCAGGCACTGTGGCTGACCCTTGTAATCCCAGCACTTTGGGAGGCTGAGGCGGGTGGATCACTTGAGGTTGGCAGTTCAAGACCAGAGTGGCCAACATGGCGAAGCCCTGTCTCTACTAAAAATACAAAAATTAGCTGGGTACGATGGCACACGCCTATAGTCGCAGCTATTCAGGAGGCTAAGGCATGAGAATTGCTTGAACCCAGGAGGCAGAGGTTGCAGTGAGCTGAGATCACTCTACTGTACTCCAATCTGAGCAACAGTGAGACTGTCTCAAAAAAAAAAAGTCATGTTTTACATGTTGCTAGGTATAAAACCTTGATAGTCAACTGGTCAACTGGCTTCTATCCAGACTCTGTTAATACTGGAATAACACATGACCATAAAAACTTTAAATTGGGTTAAAAACTATTTTGAGCAATTCTATTTATCCAATGGCGTTTGTGGGTCATTTTTGTCTTCAACAGCAAGAAAAATGTGTAAGAAATAAAGAATTAGTAAAAATGCTTACACCAAACAATTAAATCAAAGAGTAGTTTATTAAAAAAGAATCAAAACAGAAACTCTAAGTACCAGTGTGTACATTGTACACATTTAAATGACTCACGAGAATGAAGTTTTTTTTCAAATATATTAAGATCACACCACCTTGTTGTTTATCGAAAGATATTCAAGGAGAAATATCTGACTCTCCAAACTGCATCTGAGATTGCCACTTTAAAACAGACCTCATTTCAAACATGCAACAACGCCACTGGTAATAAAGCTTTGGAATGGGTGCTCATTCTATTATTTCACTACAAACAGCATAGAAAGCAAGATAAGTTGGGAATTTATTCTAAAATAGAATGGAGGTTGTCATCATCTACACCAGCACTCCTCACTCCTCTGTTGCCATTTTTAGCAAGTACTGCTTGTCGATCTTGAACAGTCTCCAACCCTCTTCACTGGACAGATCAGAAGCACCTCTTCTTTTGTAGAAGTTGATGGATGGTTCATTCCATTCTGCTACCAAGAAGTGCATGCTGCTGCAGCGACACTTCATCGCAACCTATTATGAGAGAGTAAAACACAAACTCAGTGACGTTTCAGCCTGCTTTCAAGACCCAATTTTTATTCCATCATTAAAATAATCCAGTAAACTTACAAATTTGGAAACCAAAAACTAAGACATACCCGGCTTAGATTCTTCAGAATTTCTGATCCTATGCCAAAGCCTAAAAAGAAAAAGTACAATTTAAAAAGTCATTGTAAGGATTTATATAACCCTGAACTCTCTTCAGACCCTCTGCTCCGAACTCAATCATACCTCTATAATCACTCATCACGAAGAAGTCTTCAAGATACAGTAACTTGCCAATCCACGGGTCATAGGTAAAATAGTACATGGCAAAACCAACAATGCTGTGTCCTGTAATAAGAGTATCACATGAGATGTGGAGAAGGAAAACATTTCATAAAAGTTGCAGCTGCAGAATCAGAGGCCTATCATAGGTTTAAAAAAACATACATGCATGTATTACAGAAACAAATAGCCACGACTGTCTCATGATTTTTATGTGAGTGCAGTCCAGGCCACTGCTGGATGATCTCACTGTTCTGAAAACATGTATTTGCAAAAAGCACACATCAGAACTCACTGAAGTCAGGCTACAACTGTGGACTGGCCACACTGCAGTCTGCTGGAAGCTCACACTCAGGAAGCGAGAACACTTTCATTACTTGCCAGAGCAAAATTGCTATGGTTTTAAACTCAACACACACATTATTCACATCCTACTGGTATACTGGTATGTTGACTTGGGAACAAGTCAGGTTTACACGGCAGTTCAGAATAGTAAATATTTGGAAGTTTACAAACTCTTGCTTCCTTAAAGGTCAGAACATCAGGCCAAAGTACAACGTTTAATTTCAGAACTTGCCTTCCAATTTACGCATTTTCAATTTGCTCTCCCCATTTGTTGAGTCAGAAGAGGCAGCACTGCCCAGAAACAGGTATTACATAACATGCACATTACTTTAAAAAGTACTCATCTCGTGTTTTCTGCTCATTTCTTCTAGCCTGAGGAACAGACGTCAGAAAAAAAGCAATCACCCAAACAACTTCCCCTTTTAGCTGAGCTGTCTTCTGCCCAATCAACTGGGATCAGCCAAAAAAAAAAAAAAAAAAGAAAAAAAAGGGGCATCTGACACCCTCTTAACAGGTGTCTACTATTCCAAATGGAGGCAAAGGTTTCAAATTAAACTTTCTAGCCATTTTATATTCCTTAGCAAACAGACAGGAAGCGAGTATCATAGTGGGTTTCTGATCTACCGTGTTTGAAGTGTGTGATAATAGGACCTTACCTCATTTATCATGATCATCTACTTTATTGTGTAAAGGATCTTTTAGTTACCTCCCCGCCCATCCATGTACACGGAAGGGCCATGTACATGGCGAAGCTAGAGACTGTAACCTGAAGATTGGGACAAATTAAAGAAAAAAATGTGATTTAACACAATTACAAAAACTGTTACGTTAGGGTCAAACAAGAACCATTTTATGAAACTGAATTACAACAAATGACATTATACCTAACTCTTCCGGGTCGCCACAGCACTTGTACTTACTTAAGCAGCTTAAACTCTTCAGAGTCTCCACAGCACTCTGATACTTACTTAAACAGCTCTTTTAACCTGCCCTAGTATTCTCAAGTGCAGCGTATCTAATTTTTTTTTTCCTCAGTAGTTTGAACACTTGCTGGCTATTTTTTCTGTCCAAGTTCTCAGTAACTTCGGCCTGTGTAGTCAGTGGTTCTACACAGCCGACACTACTTCTTACATAACACTCGGTCTCTCTGGCTTCTGTAAAGGGAGAGGGGTTACCTTCCGGAGTCCAGTGCTCTTTGGGCACTTCTGCAACCAGGCAGTGGTAAAAGGGGTGCTCTCCAAAACCATCTTCTAGCAGATCTGCAAGAAGGGGGAACAGGGACGGTAATGGCCTCGGCGAAGGTGACAGGCACTGAACGCTTGTCCCCCGCCCCGCCACTGTTGAATTACCTTTTTCAGTTAAGATTACTTGTTCTTCCATGTATTCATATTTAGCCAGCTCCTGGGGGAATGCACATAGGAGAGAGAAAAGCAGAAAACAAAATGAGGCTCCGGCCGGCCAGCTCAGTGGAAGGGAATGGGGCGGGCGGGGCGGGGTAGCGGCCGGGCCTGGGATGGGCGCAGAAAGGGGAACCGGCTGGGCTCTCCCACCGGCCCAGACCTCGAGACGCGAATCACCCCACCCCGGGAAACGGAACCACCTCCACCCTACGCCACGGGAGGAGCTCGGGCTCTCCGCTACCTTGATCAGCCGCAGTATGTCACTGCAGTCGGCGGCAGTGGCTGGGCGGATCACGAATTTAGCCATTTTCGTCTTTTGCTTTTCTTCCCTTTGCGGACCAGGCCCCTGTACTTGAATAGTAGGAGGAGGTGGTTCCTCATTCGTCTCCCGGGAGCGCCCTCTTTTCAGTCAGGCTGGCACCATGACCCAGGGAACCTCGGCGAATGACTGATAAACCTTAGTCGACTTGCGACTAAGAGCTGCGCACTTGAACATTGGCCCGGCTCGGCTTTTAAGCGCAAAGAAGCCCCGCCTCGGGCCGTGAGGTGGGGGCCTCTCATCCAATGAGGCCGCGGCCCCGGGGCGCATCGTTTCCTCTCCCAGGCACCACCCTCTCTTCCGGGCGCCCGTGTGAACCCGGAGGACAAAAGTTGGGGATGCGGGGGCGCGCTGTGGGATTCGCTAGCGGCGCCCTCTAGTGGCACTTCGCGGAGCCTTGGCAGAAACCCTACTGGGAGCCGGTGTGTCCCCCAGTAACCTTTGCAAATGGAAGAGGGGAATTCCCTCTGCGGCCCCCCGACAAGTGACCTTTCTCTTTTCTCCTTGGCCAGTCAGGGAAGCAAACTCAGGAACCCTGGACTTAGGAGATGGGAGGAAGATTAAAGCGGCAGTTCTCAAAGTGTGATCCGGGAGACCCTGCAGATCCCAAGATTCTTTGTAGAGTTTCGGTGGCAGAACTAGTTTTAGAATGAATAATAGACGTCATTTGCCTTTTAAACTCACAATGGAATTTTCCAGAGGCGACCTGATGTCTAACGATGACACTGCTCTTATGACCAAAGGAATGTGAGCTCGTATATTCTTGCGGTTTTTAGAATTTCCTAAGGTAGGTTATTTAGATTTCCCAATTATCTTTTTTTCTTTATACTTGTTGTTTCTAGAGTCGACAGCATATTTTTTTCTCACTTTTCTAACCTTCTTATACCTTCTTAAATCTCTGATCTTCCTCGACACTTGATCTTGACACCTTTCCTTCTGCCGAGGTACATTCTTCATAATTTGCTTTAGTAAAGATTTGCTTTTACTAAACTTTCTCAGTTTTGCTTATCTGAATGTGTCTTTAATTCATCTTATAATTCGTTTTTTCAGACTAGTCAAGTGCAGTAGTGAGAGTAAAATAAGGAGTTTGATCTGTAACTGACTGTGAACAATCAACTGAGATAACTCACTACCTTTGGACCAGCCCATCTTACAATTCTTGAAGGGTTTATTGCACTGTTTATAGATTTTGAGGTTCAGAAGTTTTCCTCTTTCAGCACATTGATGTTATCTGTCTTCTGACTTCGGTTGCTGTTGAAAGTTGTTGGAATCCCTACTTGCTCCATCCTCTATGCTTCATTTCCTTTAACATTTTTTTGAAATAATTATACATTTACAGAATATGTGATGATGTCATTGCTCTGGTGAGGAAAAAAATATGTGCTTGTGTGTTCCTATGTTTTTTACAATTTTCGAAGGTAAGATCTTTGGATTCCTTGATAAGTATTTTTTTTTTTTTTTTTGGTAGAGACAGGGTCCTCACCATCTTGCTCAGGTTGGTCTCGAACTCCTGGGCTCAAGTGCTCCTCCCACCTCGGCCTCCCAAAGTGCTGGGATTACAGGTGTGAGCCACTGCAACTGGCTGGATTCCTTGACAAGTTTTAAATGTTCTGAAACCAGAGTGTTTGGGAACATTTGGATTCGAGTATAGCTACTCCTGTATTGTACCTCCTGGCCCAAGTATTCAAGTCTTTGTGGAATGAAATGACTTTTCTTTTACAACTCACTTTCCCAGACAGACCCTGCTGACGGCCTTACTTCGACAGCCCTGCCTGGGTTCAGAAATGAGTCAGAGGATGATTTTCACAGTGATGAAAAGCATAAAAGGGGCCTGCAGTGTCTGCAGTCTGTAGAAGGAGGGATCAGACTACCACCAAAAAACCACCCGTAACATTCAACAAGTGATTCTCTGCCTTTGCTAGCAATATCCTGTATGTAGAAAAGAAAACAGAAGTAGATTCTCTGTTACCCTTCCTGCCCTAGGGGGATTCCATGGTTAGTGAGTCACCCTGGGAGTTTATGAAACTCAAACGTCTTTCTCAAAGATCTTTAAAAATCACTTTGATTCTAAACTGCCTAAGTTACAGCTACTAGTCTTTCCTGACAGTGTTGGCTAGACCTTATGGATGACCAGATGGCTTTTTCCTCCTCTGCTTCTGTCTAAAATGTCAGGACTTAGGAGAGCTTGTTATACATTTCAGTAATGTATACCGGTAACAGTAAATTAGACCGCTATGACTAAGCACTAGTGATAGCTGCGTAACTAAAGCAAAACCGAAGCCATCTTCTGTTTGGGTTGCTTAATTTAATAGAATAGGATTGTTTTGGCCAGGCGTGGTGGCTCACGCCTGTAATCCCAGCACTTTGGGAGGCCAAGGCAGGCGGATCACGAAGTCAGAAGGTCAGGAGTTCGAGACCAACCTGGCCAACATGGTAAAACCCCGTCTCTACTAAAAATAATTTTTAAAAATTGGGCATGGTGGCATGTGCTTGTAATCCCAGCTACTCAGGAGGCTGAGGCAGGAGAATCGTTTGAACCCGGGAGGTGGAGGTTGCAGTGAGCCAAGATCACACCATTGCACTCCAGCCTGGGCAACAGGGCAAGGCTCCGTCTAAAAAAAAAAAAAAAAAAGAAGAATAGTGATTGTTTCATTAAAATACATTATAATTTTTTCTGTTTATTTTGTTTTTCTGGTTTAAGTTTCTTCTTTCTCTCTCTCTCTCTCTCTCTCTCTCTCTCTCTTTCTTTCTTTCTTTTTTTTTGATGAAGTCTCACTCTGTCACCCAGGCTGGAGTGCAGTGGCGTGATCTCCACTCACTGCAACCTCCGCCTACCGGGTTCAAGCCATTCTCCTGTCTCAGCCTCCTGAGTAGCTGGGACTACAGGCACACGCCACCACGCCTGGCTAATTTTTGTATTTTTAGTAGAGACAGGGTTTCACCATGTTGGTCAGGCTAGTCTCAAACCCCTGACTTCAGGTGATCCACCTACCTCGGCCTTCCAAATTGCTGGGATTACAGGCGTGAGCCACTGCGCCCAGCCTAGTTTCATGATCTTTTGCTTTGCCTTGTCCTTATGACAAGAAGAACCTATTCTGAAAAACAGATGGTGGCCGGGAGTGGTGACTCATGCCTGTAAACCCAGCACTTTGGGAGGCTGAGGTGGATGGATCGCTTGAGCCCAGGAGTTTGAGACCACCATGGCAACATAGGGAAACCCTGTCTGTACCAAAAATACAAAAATTAGCTGGGTGTGGTGGCGTGTGCCTGTATCCCGGCTGTTAGAGCTATTAGCCTCCCAGCTTGGGAGGCTGAGGAGGGAGGATCGCTTGAGCCCAGGAGGTAGACGCTGCAGTGAACCATGATCATGCCACTGCACTCCAGCCTGGGTGACAGAGCGAGACCCTCTCTCAAAAAAACCAAAAGAAAACAGATGGCTAAAAAAGCCCACTGTGACTGTGTTTGTGGACATGAAGAAGCCTAGAACCCTAAGAAATTTGAATGTTTTTCGTGGCAGTGAATCACATTATACTTTTCCATTATCATGAATGGATAGATGCAACCAGCATTACATATATATATTTATTATTATTATTATTATTTTTTGAAACAGAGTCTCACTCTATTGCCCAGGCTGGAGTGCAATGGCACAATCTCGGCTCACCGTAACCTCCGCCTCCTGGGTTCAAGTGATTCTTCTGCCTCAGCCTCCCACCTGCCACCATGCTCAGCTAATTTTGTATTTTTAGTAGAGATGGGGTTTCACCATGTTGGCCAGGCTGGTCCCAAACTCCTGACCTCAGGTGATCCACCTGCCTTGGCCTCCCGAAGTGCTGGGATTACAGGTGTGAGCCACCACGTCCAGCCGTATATATATATACACACACATACACACACACACATATATATATACATATATACATATATATACATACACACACACACACATATATATACACACACACACATATATATACACACACACACATATATACATACATATATATACACACATACACACACACATACATATATATATAAATATATATATATAAATATATATTTATTTATTTATTGAGACAGAGTTTTGCTCTTGTTGCCCAGGCTGGAGTGCAATGGTGTGGTCTCGGCTCACTGCAGCCTCCACCTCCCAGGTTCAAGCGATTCTCCTGCCTTAGCTTCCTGAGTAGCTGGTATTACAGGTATGTGCCTCCATGCCCCACTAATTTTGTATTTTTAGTGGAGGTGGGGTTTCTCCATGTTGGTCAGGCTGGTCTCAAACTCCTGACCTCAGGTGATCTGCCCGCCTCGGCCTCCCAAAGTGCTGGGATTACAGGTGTGAACCACTGCACCTGGCCTATTTTTTTTTTTTTTTTTAAGAGACAGGGTCTTGCTCTGTCACCCAGACAGGAGTACAGTGGCATGATGATAGCTCACTGCAGCCTTGAACTCCTGGGTTTTGGCGATCCTCCCACCTCAACCTCCTGAGTAACTGGGACCACAGGTATATGCCACCATACCCAGCTAATCTTTACAATCTTTTGTAGAGATGGGAGTCTTTATTTTCTTCCTTTCCTTTCCTTTCTTTTCTTTTCTTTTCTTTTTCTTTTTTTTTTTTTGAGACAGAGTCTTCCTCTGTCACCCAGGCAAACTCTGCCTCCCAGCGTCAAGCGATTCACCCACCTCAGCCTCCCGAGTAGCTAGGATTATAGGCGTGCACCACAACACCCAGCTAATGAGATGGGAGTCTTTCTATGTTGCCCAGACCGGTCTTGAACTCCTGGCCTCAAGGGATTCTCCTGGCTTAGCCTCCCAAAGTGCTGGATTACAGGCATGAGAAATCTCATGCCCAGTGTGGAATTTATATTTAAAATGACATATACAGCTCCTGGACAGCAGGGGGAAAAATGGCGTGAAAAAAGGGATTAATTGTCTAACATTTGGAAAACTTTCATTTGGTTAGTGAGTCAGCAGATGAACATGTCTTTACTGAGTCTTATGCTAGGTACTTGGAGGTTTTAAAGGATGACCAAGTTTTGAAACCAGACCTCAGAGTATACACGTTACTTTTAGAGATGTGTGTGTGGTTTTTACAGCAGAATTTAATCTTTGTGAGAAAGAGAATCCCTGTAACTGAGGAGGACTGAGTAGAGGAAGAGTAGTGGGAAGGGAATCAGCCAAGGCATTGTCTTAGGCGGTTTGCCTTAATTGTCTCATTTGATCCTTACAACTATTTTTTTTTTTTTTGAGACAGAGTCTCGCTCTGTTGCCCAGGCTGAAGTGCAGTGGCATGATCTCAGCTCACTGCAACCTCTGCCTCCTGGGTTCAAGCGATTCTCCTGCCTCAGCCTCCCGAGTAACTGGGATTACAGGAACGAGCCACCACACCTGGCTAAGTTTTGTATTTTTAGTAGAGATGGGGTTTCACCATATTGGCCAAGCTGGTCTTGAACTCCTGACCTCAAGTGATCCACCAGCCTTGGCCTGCCAAAGTGCTAGGATTACAGGCGTAAACAACCGTCCCCAGCTTAATTTTTTTGTTGTTGTTTTGTTTTTGAGAGGGAGTGTCGCTTTGTCACCCATGCTGAAGTGCAGTGGTGTCATCTTGGCTCACTGCAACCTCCACCTCCTGGGTTCAAGCGATTCTCCTGCCTCACCCTCCTGAGTAGCTGGGATTACAGGCATGTGCCACCATACCCAGCAAAAAAATTTTTTTTTTTTTGAGACAGAGTTTCGCTCTTATTGCCCAGGCTGGAGTGCAATGGCACGATCTTGGTTCACCGCAAC